AATACCATTCAAATTCTATTGCAGAAACCCAAACAGCTGTTAGGGAAATGTGTGTGTAAAAAAGTCTCCTTCCTTCAAGAGTACCTGATAAATGCAACGTACACACTCTGGTAATAGTCCTTTTTCAACCATTAGCAATGGGATTGACCATCTGAGTGATAAAAGATGCTCTAATTCTTCCCCCTCTGTTTGATTCAGCATGTTTTGGGGCAGTAGAAAGGAATTTTAAATAACTCTATTACTGTTACTCTGCCAGGTTGATTTTATTAGGACACCAGTAATATTTCAAGTGGTGTGGTCTCATACAGCACACGACGCAGTGGCAAATACACTGTAGTTACAGGATCGCTCTGGGGTGGTGGGGAATTACATTTATTGGATATTGGATTTATTTTAGAAGGAGGTAGAACTTATCAATGCTAAACACAAAATGTGAGGCTAAACCACACTGAAGATCACAAATCTTAAATAACTTAATGTTCCTTTTTGCAGCCTCCTGAAACCTGAATGCTCTTTGGTCAACTCTCGTGATTTTGATAGTATGGCCATTCAGTGTTGTTCTAACCAGGGTATAAATGAGAACCATGTATCTAGACCTCCCAGAGCCTTGGACATAGCTCCAAACCTTGCACTCCTACTTGAACAAGCAGTTCCAGGCAAAACAGAGCAGCTGAGAACTAAACAACATATGGGTAGACCTTCACAGAGCAAATCAGCTGAATGTCCCTACTTTCATGTTGCTTCTGGCTTAGGGATGCCTTTAGCATTTCCTTAGCTTTCCTGCACTCTGAATGGTACATGCACTATAAGCTTTGTGTGGAGTAATACTTTGTTTCTCTGATGCTGCTCATCACATGAAGATGCTCATGCATTGTGAGAGGAAATCCATGAGAAAAAAGCTCATAGCCAGTCGCTGCCTCAGAGGGACACTTGGTGAACAGTTGCATCAAGTGAGGTCACTTAAAGAGGAGCATCAGAGAGCAGCAGCTGCATCCCCTGCTGGGTGGAGCCAATGGTTTTATTGACTGTTATGGATCTGAAGCTAAATTATGGTCATCTCAGGTATGCCAGTAGGAGCTTAGTTGCAACAGGAAAGGGAGCATGGAAAGGTCATGAAATTATTATTTCCCAATTGAAAAAGTTCCAAGAAATGATGAGTATTCCCAGGGGTACCATATGTCTCATTATAACCTGTCTTTTTTCAGTATACTTTAACCATGCTTACACCATTCTAGGTACTCATTCCAGGATGAAGAAGATATGTTTATGGTGGTAGACCTGCTGCTTGGAGGGGACCTGCGATACCACCTCCAGCAGAATGTGCGGTTCCAAGAAGGCACCGTGAAGCTCTTCATCTGTGAGCTGGTGCTGGCCCTCGACTATCTCCAGAGCAGGCACATCATCCACAGGTCAGCTGGGGACCTCGGAGGAGGGCTGGTGCTCGTAGGCTGAATGTTTCTGTGTAAAACACCATGTTTCCCAGCGAAATGAGCTGTAGCTTATTAACATCTGTCCTGGTCCAGGGTGGGTAGGCATCAGCATTCAGAATTCCCCTATTATTACATTCATAGGTATTTGCCTTTTGCTCCTCTCTCTGTACCACACAGAAAGACAAGGAATGAGACCAAACATGGCAGTTCTCTGTATGAGGTTAATCCCTTTCTAGAAATAGTGAGAGCTTCTTTTTGGTCACCAAGATTTTTCATGGCCAGTGAAAGAGTATTTGAGCTCTCCCCACACAGCGGGAGACCTACAGAGTAACAGGGGAGGTAGAGCTTTTCCCTGGTTGGAGAGGCAGGGTCAGCTCTGGATGGACGGATGGATGTGCAACTGCTTCCTGCTGGTGAACTGGGCCATGCAAACCTCAGGGATCCTCCATATTTTGACTTGGTGGCTGCTAACAGGGAGTGTGAAGTGGGAGTGACCAGCAGGGGGTTAGTAAAGATGGGAAGAAGATTATCCCATTTAAAAGTACCACTTTAGAAGCGCAGCTCCTGGTTTCTCAGGAGTCCCACGTCCCGTGCTGCTGGCTTGCTCTGTACCTGTGCAGATCTCTACCCTGATGCACCTGATCCCAGCGTCCCAGCTGCCCTCAGATGTGCTCCGGTGTGTGGTGACAGGGACGTCGTGCTGGCACCTGCTCACCCGCACCAAATAATGCATGAGCATGAATTACACACCATGAAATGCAGCCTCGCTGTCTCTGTCCTGGGCAGTGAGGGGTAAATTCTGCTGCTGGCTTGGCCTGAACTATTTGAGTGGGGCACAGGCATGAGGAAGAACAGAGAAGAAATCCTTCTCTGTTAGTAATACATCACAAGTAGTAGTACTGTTTATAGGACTCAAGGGCTAGAGGCTCAATGTTGTAAGAATAAGTCTGAAGGATGATGATGATAATGATGATCATCATAATGATGAATGACAAGATAGCTACAGGAACACAGGGTGCCTGGGGCTGCAGTCCCCTTTCCAAGCTGTAAACATAGGTGGGGAAAAGCTAAAGTTCAGGCTGCAGTGTGTACTTCAAGCAGCCCTACATGTTTAAGGCAAATCAAGCACAACAAAACATGCATGGCAGTTGGTCAAATTTGCAAATTATTTGATTAACACTGAGTGCAAGTTGTTTAATTGCCACTGTGACCCAGTGGGACAGGGGTAGGTTGATAAAGTGACTGTGCTGAGTCAGTTGAGCTGCAACATCTGTAATGAGGAGACAGGCAAGTGTTTGCTTGTTTTGTCTGAACAAAGGTGTGCAGAGACAGCAAACACAGACCGACAGTTGGAATTATTTCCCACGTGCATGCAGAAGAGTGGTAGGAAATGGCGTAATTAGCTCATAAAAAACAAATAGTCAATAAACAAAACTATCCCTGTTCATTGTTTGCATCATGGGAAGGATCTCGCTGTGCCGGTGCAAGTCCATAGGCTTTGCACCAGACTGAGTTCAGAAAAGGCCCCAGTGGAAAGAAAAACAATATTAAGAAAAGATCGAAAGCTGGATTAGAAATGAAAACCTTTGTGGTTCATTTCGAAACTTCAAACATGCTTTTCTACCAGGGGATTCAAAGAACCCATTTTTTTCCAAACCCTGTTTGCTGAAACATTTCCTAAAGCTGTTGCTTAAGTCGGTGTTTTCTCCCGAGCATGGCATCCCCATTTTTCACAGTCAGATATGGAGCTTCCTTCCCTCTGGGCTGTTTGGCTCTAACCTGAGGCAGTTTTGCTGCACTGACAAGGAAAACCAGCTGCATACCTGAGGCCACCTGAACTCCTGATAAAGACTCTGGTCCCTGTGCTTACCTGTGTGCTGGGGGTGGCACAAGGGAGGGGACTGGTATTTAGAGCCCACTGGAGCAGTTTTGGTGAGAAGATACCAGAGAACAGAAACGGTGAGATGCCTTTTCCTGGTTCCAGGGGGGTGGGTGAGTTCAAACTCTATCTCAGTGACTGCATTCTTAAAGATAAGATCCTAAACCTGCTCATTTCCTTCCTCTGGGCTGGCAGGGCACCAGGGCAGTGCAGGGTCTGCGTCTGCCCCATGCATGGTGCTTGGCTGCCAGGTGCCTGAGGGCAGGTGAATGGGAACTGATGTAATGAGCTCATTAAAACCAGGTAATGTCTTGTAAAGTCACTCAGGTGGATACAGTAGGCGTATCAGGTGTACACGTTGTCCCTTCAAGTGAAAGCATTGCAATAGGTATTATTACTTCGGGTTTTGTTTGTTGGTTGTTTTTAACAAAACCTGTGGGGACCCATGTGTTTCTAAACAAAGATGTTGAAATAATTGCATTTTTATTTAGTAAATGGGGAACATACAGTACTGAAAGAGATTACAAAGTTAACAGGAGAGGAAAGAGAAAAAGAAGCTCCAACGTTGTCAGTGGACTGCCTGAGTGCTGCTAGTCCGAACCACAGCAGCCATCACAGCCATAGCCTTGAACCACCCCTCTGCTTCTGCTCTTTGGTTAGCTGTTCTCTTATGCCCAAATCAAACCCTGCAGGAATATCAGAGCTGAAGAGCCCCAGCAAAGGCACCTTCTCAGGCACAATGTCCCTGGAAGTGAGCCCCTCTGGAGCCTGGGCTTTCCTAAAGCATCTGCAGCCATGTTCCATGTCACTTCTCTAGGCTAATGGCTGTCTCTCCTCTGCCTTTTCTCTTAGAGACATCAAGCCTGACAACATTTTACTGGATGAGCATGGTAAGTGTCACTTGCTTTGTGGTCGTCCATTCAGAACCAGGACATCCAAGGTGAAGTCCAGGTTGTCAATTTTCCTCACTTTGTGTTGCTCAGTTTCAGCTCAGACAGGACCAGGACCATCCTTCCATGCTTTGGTTGTTGTCTTTTGCTTTTTGAGTGGCAGCATCTTGTACCTTCATGGCACTAGGCACCCTGTGATGCAGTGATGTTTATGAGGGTGCCTCAGAGTTTCGTCCACACCTCCTCAGACTGATTGACCTGACAGCGTCCCAGGACCAATGCTTTTTGGGTGCCTGCGGTCAGTTGCCTTGCAGACCTTATTTTAAGACCTTCATGGCTCTTGCTTTAAACTTTCTCAAAATATAATCATTTTAATGGAAATGCTCATGTAATTGCAGGCTGGGTGTGATGTAGACTCACAAATAGAATGAATCGTGGCTGAACAGATAATCCTTTTCAGGTATTTTCTTTTTCCTTGAGCATCTGACATTGGGAGGGAGCTCCAAAGAGGATCTGAGGCGGGGGATATAAGAGATGTTGTTTTATTTTCCCCTTTAGCCTTAGTTTAGGAATGTCATCGCTTCAGAGGCTGTGATGGAGATGCTGAAGCTCCCGAGGAGCGGCTGCGGCTGCCGCGTGTGACCAGGGTTGCCCAGCAGCGCCCGAGCCCGAGCTCTCCCCCTCTCTCCTCCGCGCTGGCTCATGATTTATTGAGGAGCCGTCAGCCGAGCTGCGCCCGGCCTCGCTGCTGCCCCGGGCACGGACCCGGCCCGGTGCCGGGCCAGCCCCAGCCGCGGGTGCTCTGTCACCATCTCCCGAGAGCCTCTGTGCCCCACAGGAAGGAGGGGACAGGCCACCCGGGAGGGATCTGGGAGCACTAGAACAGCAGAAACATAGGTCAGCATTCCCAAAGGGGGAAAAAACAAGAGGCTTGTCTTTGCAGTTGCATTCAGCTCAGCAGGATGTAACCTGCAAATTTCTGTAATGACTGCAATTTAGGCTGATTTTGAGCTTATTCCCTGCTCACTGTGATGGTTTAACTGTCTGCTGCAGAGGTTTCAGTTATTTTGTGTGGATTTACCCCTGACTTCAGTGTCCTTCTGACTATGACTTGTAGTATTTCTCTTCTTCATCCATGGCAACAAAGGTGCATCCTCTCATGCATACAGAAAGCTTTGTGTACACACAATTCAATTTTTTTCTTGTCCCCACAGCAACTGTTATTGTGACATTTTCATCTGTAGTTAGCCTGGATTGTGCTTGTTTTCCAGCATCTCTTTCCCCATGGAGCAGAGCTGCAGCTCCCCATTCTCTCTTCAGCATTCACCAGGTTTTCACAACTGATGTTTTGTGACCACAAAACGCATGCTATCTGCCAACATCAGTTCTTTATAATGTTCTTGATTGAGGCCGGTCCCCAGGGAGTATTTAAGCACCTGAAGACCTTCAGCAGTCAGACTTCAGCCTTTCACTTTTAGATTCTTCTTGCCCCCTAACTCTGTCCTTTGGCTCTTCCTCCTTTCCAGCTGTGAAGTACCTCTGCAGCTGAGACTCCTGTGTCATGAACTTGGCACACATCTCATGCCTTTGCCTCTGTCACCCTGTTTGGTGACATTCTGTATTAGCATAGCACTTTCAGCTAAGAAATTAAAATGAGGCATAAATAAAGTGGAATAGTGGGCAGCTGTCTTTCTGTGCAATAAATAAAGCAATTGTTCAACATCAGCAATTGGGATCAGGTCCCACAGTGAAAAATCCTCAGCTGCTGACCACCTTCAGCGGTCATTCCAAGCACAGAGTGACTTCCTCCTGTAATGAGCAGTTGATTTGGCTCAGTGACAGCACAGGTCACCTGGGAATAAAAGAATATAACAGATGGCAGTTTCCAAGAATTGTGACTATTTCATCAGCAGGTTTTGGCCATGTCACTTGCCTAATAAAGCTGAAGAAAAGCTCAAACTAAAACTGAGAGGTTTTTTTGTTTGTCTGTTTTTTGCCAGAGCCCTATAATGCCTTCGCTCAGTATTATTTCTTGAGGGCAGTGCTAAAATGGATGAGTTCCTGCCAACACAGGCACTACAGGCACAGCTCATTTGCTCTCATCTAAGAATGTTACAGTACAGTTTGTCCAAGAGCCTCCATACTCCACAGCTCCTAATGCCTCTGTTTCCATATTCCTTAAAATATTACCTTAGTTGAATCTGCAGAAGCTTTGTATTTTTTGTTCAAAAGATGATCTGGAAAGATGACGGAATTATGTAGTAAGAGGTGCTGAATATAATGAGAAAGTTCTTTGCCTCAATGCAGAACCACAGGCTTGATCCGAAAGCTTCAGACAGACAGGATGAGCTTGGGAAGGATGCCGTGCCCGGAGCACAGCTCTGGCTGCACTCAGAGGTGCTGAGCACTCAGGAAAACATGAGCCTTAAGCCCTGACTCTGAACGCCAGCAGAGGCACCCATCGCACCCCTCAGCCCTCCCGCTCCACAGCGCCGCAGTCGCAGCTCCGCCTGCTCGCACCGTCTGCAGCCTCCCTGCTCGGCCCCAGCGGCTTGGTTTGGTCAATTCCCAAGTGAGCTGGTTCATAAAACGTGTGATTTATTTGAAGTTAATAGTTTAAAAGAGACATCCAGAGAAAGGCATGTTTGTGCTTGGAATAGCAAATTCTTTACAAGTCTTTGTGATTCATCTGTATGAAAACAGCTCCCCACAGTGTGGAATGAGAGCTAGAGATGAAAGGAAACACTGCAAGGACAGAGAGGACACATCCAGCCAGGACAGTTGTGTATCATTCTTTCCTCTCAAGTACTCCCTAGTGATTGCTACCTGCTCTTTAGCAGCAGACGGCTTAAGCAAGAAGGAGGGACATGTGCCCTGACAGATCCATCAGATACCATGTGAGAGGTGAGCCCTGACAGCATTTTTAGGTGAAATCATGAATTTAACTTTTATTCCCCAGATTTTCCCCACCTAGATCAGGTATTTGCAGCATGGAAACCTGTATCATTATTCTTGAATAACACATGTGTAGGCACAAACCCAAAGATTTACTTAAATGCTTCATAGCATCCAGAAGAGACAACAGGAGTTCATTGGCAAAGCAGCAACTTTCAGACACATAAAGGTGATCTTATTCTATTTACCTCATGAACTAAAAAGAGTGAATTTCTAGCTGTTGAAGCTAACAACTGGGGGCAGTGTTGTAGCATCTCGGTCAGTAGAAGCCACTTTAATTTGATCTCCGTGGTTAGAGAAAATGAGCAATTCAGCCACTCTGTTATTGCAGAGGAAGACAATGACTCTGCAAAACACCAGGTACAAAAGACCTGATGTTTTGATAATGAGCCCACCTTTGTCAGGGTGAGCAAGGTCAGTGCCTGGGAGGATGATGAGGTCTGGCAGAACAAACCACCTGCATCTGATCAGAAGAACTGGGCTGAACTAACCCACAAGTTTCAGTGAAGTGAAGCCAGCCTTACACTGATCACCTGCCCAGCTCTGCATGATTGCTATGCTCACTGATGTGAGTTTAGGGAATAAGGAACAATAATTTAAGTGCTTGGAAAAAATAAGTGGAAGTAGAAGAGCAGGCGAGAGCTAGGTGGAAGCGTTTCCCTTCTCATCCCTGCAGATCACATCCACCTCCTATTTCCTTTCCTGTTTCCAGGTAGCAGTGACAGCAGAAACTGTTCCTACACCCAGTGGAGGGTTTGATGATGTTTAAATTTCTGGCACAAGGCTCTTTTGCTTGGAGCAAAAGCATCTGTTCCATTGCAGAGACATCCTCTAAAGATGAGAACGGAGAGTGCTTAGTACCTGGGAACCCCAAAGGGCAGTAGGTAGAAAGCCAAAAATATCAAGGATTTTTTCCCCTCCCTCAAAAGCATGATGGAAATTTTTCTTTGTGACGTCAGTTCCCCCCTCCCCCCCCCCGATTTAGGAAGCCTCAAACCAATCATCATTTAACAGCTTCTTGGAGAACTCCATTGTTTTGCTCCCCAAAAGGTAGCTACGGGGATATCTGATGTAACCAGACACATCTGTGAGCTGCCTCCTGCAAGCTGAAACACACCAGTTCTTCCACCAAAATATTTTGCTCCTGGAAACTCTTTTCCATGGAGTATTTCATTTAAAGATTGATTCAAAGCTGTTCATCCTGTGAAATTAAAGCTAATCAAGTAAGACATTAACCTCTGTCTTTCAGGACACGTGCACATCACTGATTTCAATATTGCCACAATGCTGACTAAAGAAATAAAAGTCACCACCATCGCTGGCACAAAGCCTTACATGGGTAAGAACCACTGACAATTGGGTGTTCTTCAGTTGCCATTTTATGGCCTTCATTTGGCAGCTGTGGTAGGAAACAGGTCAAGTCCTTTTTGGTGGGAGCTCAAGCTCTCTATTCCCCCTAGTATGTAGCAAAAATGCACTTATTGGAAGTGAGAAACAAGCTCAAGAGGTGCTGCAGGGCAACGGGACAGGACTCCCTCCCCAAGTAACACCCTGATGCAGCTGGAAAACATGCATACACCTACTGATTGCATACAACAGACCAAAGCAAGCTGCTAACATAGATTTTAGAGCCACTGTGCCATACTGACAGCATGGTTTTGATTACAACAGAAGACAGTTGCACTTGTGAGATCTCAGAGCATTTCACAAGCCGCAGTCAAACCATGTAATGATGGTGCAATGCTCTTGCTGCCCTTGCAAAGGAAAGGAAGCACAGAGGCTTGTATTTGGTCCCTCAGTACACTAGCACAAGTCTTACACTGCTGCATCACTAGTGATAATTTGAAGTTTTATATAAACTGGGTGCTTTAAAAACTAGCATTACACTGGTCAGACCAAGCAGTGGAAGTAGGACTTGCTGAGTTCCCAAGCCACAGCATCGCTCAGCATGCAGGGAGGACCTATGTCCTAGTGTCAGGCTGCCACAGCAGAGAGCACTGCTAGCACCAGGGAGAGATGGGTGAGGCTTTAGCTCTAACCTGTACCCCAAGGACAGCAGCAGGACAGGAGGGCAATCCTGGGGTAAACTGACTCTGGAGCGGGTGGATGCCTCCATGGCAGCCTCTGGCCAGCTGCAGGAACAGTTTTCATAAGCAAATCAGCACCCACAGAGCACTCGCTCCCGGTGCAGACCTTGTCTTCCTGGTACTCCAAATGTGCATTTTTCTTTTCCACTTTTTGAGAGGAACACAGAAAACTGACTTACGGTCACTTACTGTCTAAATCAGCAAAGCAGCTGACTTTAAATCAGCAAGAGCCCCACTTAATACTTTTTACACGGGCACAGTTAATAAGCATAAAGCAAAGTAACACTGACATACCTGGGAGGAATCAGGGCTGGAGAAGGCAGGTAATGAGCCAGAGAGGAACTCTGAGCTGAGGCTGAAAGAAGCTGTGCAAACACAACACAGAAAGGTCTCTGCAACTGTAAAGTGAAGTTTTCTAACTAAAGCAAAAGCACTCAAAACCATCTCTACACAACTAACACAACTCCTCCCACAGAAGTTACACACTTTCACATGCAGCAATACTGCCTCTGAGAGCTGAGTAACAGAAAACACATCCTCCCCGCAGCTACTACATAGCTGAGTCCCTCGGGGCAATCTCCTGGGAATCCCCTTTTTATCCAATGGCCAAGCTGACCTCCCACCTTTGCATCACAGGTGCAGTCCTTTTAAAAAGGAAACATGCACTAATGAAGGCTTTGCTCTTGGTTTGGGTTTTTTTAGAGCAAGTCTTGCCTCCATCTCACATCAAAATCCTATTGCATTTTTTCCCCTTACTGTGAAAAGGCAAATTTATTGGCTAACCCCCCCATTTCATCCTGTGCCTCCACCCCCTCCCTATCAGCAGGCACAGAGGAGCCAGACCACTGCCTTTGAACACAGGGGAAGGTGTTCCATGCCGTGCCGTGGTCAGTCAGCAGGGTCACGTTTTCAAGGTGTATGTGTTCCCACGGCAGGCAAGTGTCTGGGCTAAGCTGGCGTCCCGGGTGCTGGGTCAGGCTGGCTCGCACCGAGACAGCCAGGCAGGACTGGGGCCGGTGGGAGCAGCGGCTGCGCGGCACACGGTGGGGTGGGAGATCCGGGGCTTTGCACCCATGGGTGTCAGCTCTTCCCTCCACACTGCGGCACCTCGGCTGGGACGTTTCTGCACTGCAAGGCTGGGACAGCAGCCGAGGAGCCTGACACGCCCGGCAGGTGAATTGCTGCAGGGACACGTGTGTGCTCTGATCGGGGTCCACCTCCGTGGTGTTCCGTGCAGGACTGTGCCACCAGCGCTGCCCCTCTTTTGAACTAAAAAGCAGCAAAGATGTGGTGAAGGGAAATGTGTGAATTTGTGTCCTGGTAGAACTGCAGGGCTGCTCCCTGGGGCACACACCAGGCGTTCTGGTGCCTCACCTGAGACATCAGCAAGGCAAACTTTCCTTTTTCTGTGTTCTGCAGCACCTGAGATGTTTAACTCCACAAAACCCACTGGCTACTCCTTCGCTGTGGACTGGTGGTCACTGGGGATCACGGCCTATGAGCTGCTCCGGACCCGGGTATTGTGCATGCAGCTCCTGTCTCCATCCATCCATCCATTCATCCATTCATCCATCCATCCATCCATCCATCCATCCATCCATCCATCCATCCATCCATCCATCTATCCCTCCCTCCCTGCGTTCCTCCCTTCCTCCCTTTCCTTAAACACTCTGTTGGAAAGGTTAATGCTTTAGAACAGGGACGAAAGACCCAAGGCAAATTCCAGGCTTTCAGGGTTATCAAGCCATAGGAAACAGAACCATGTCTTCACCAGGGTTCCTGTGATCACAGCTAAGAGCTCAGAGGAACTGTTACGATACAGAATAGCATGGCACAACAGCTCCCTGCTGCACTCAAGGGCCTCTGAGTTGATGTAAGCTGGGCAAGGCAAACGAGCAACAACTCTTCTAGTCTGGGCTGCAGTATAATTTACTTTGAGCTCCCATCCTGCAGGAAAAAAACACTTGGAAAACAAATCTCATTGCTGTTGTAATAAGATTGAGCAGTTTGAGCAAAAGCAAGCTGCAACATGTAAATTAATCAGAACAATCCCTGCCTGCCATGTCAGTGCTCTGCTGCTAGCTCTGGTAAGGTTGGGAGCTGCGTAGGCAGATGATGAGATTTGCGGGTTGGAAGTGCTGTGTGAAAAAAGAGGGACAGAATTATTCAAATTGCATTCTTCTAAGCAAAAGGTGTTTAAAATAGTGTGAGGATAGGAAACTGCTTCGAGTCCGGCTATGTAGAATAAGCTTTTAAGAAACGCTGTCATCAGTCTTTGCAGAACGCTTTATAAAATGCCTTGATTAATATATTTTAAAGAACAGATTTTCAAATGGTGAGTGATCGAGTTAGTGAACATGAAGGGGACACTGCTGCCTGACCTGTTGGGTAATGGAGGCAGTGTGCCCCTGTGAACATACTAACATAACACTTGAGTTTTCCATTTGTAATGTTAAGTGAACGGCAGGACTGTTCATCACATCGATTTTTGACTCGATGGCCCTGTTTTCAGGGATGGGAGCAGAAGTGCTGGTTTGGGTTTTGCCTCCCTCCTGTCCTGCTGTTTAAGTATCTGGCTGTTGTCACAGTTCTTGCTGACATTATTCTGTTTATTTCAACTGTGCTGCGATCACACAGGGAGAGACTTTCAATGGGAGGATGGGGAATCTACAAGGAGGCTTCATTTGAAGCTTCTTTGCTCTAAAAAAGACTTCCCCAGGGGTCTGAAAACCCAGATGAATTAAAATGCTTTCTTGGTGGCACTTTTCCCAGAGGCCGTATCACATTCGCTCCAACACTTCCACAGATGAAATTGCTCACGTGTTCAGGACGGCCACAGTGATGTACCCTGCGGCGTGGTCCACGGACATGGTGTTGCTCATCAAAAAGGTGAGGGCAGCGTGGGAGTGGAGGGCTCAGGGCTGCCTGTATCTGGGCACTGAGCCCTTCATCGCGCTTTGTAGCCTTTGCAGTCATTGCAAACTGTGTCCAGACCCAGTGCTGGAGACCTTCAGGTGGTAAATGTCCAGCTTCTCATGCTGCAGCTGCACTAATACAGTAACCAGCTGGCAGTGCTGCATCCCGCACTGACAGGGATGGAGTCTGTGCTGACAGGCATGACTGCTGCTAATGTGGTTCCTCTAAGGACACAGGCAGACTTTGGTTTCACTGTTTCTCCTATAACTTTGTCTCTCTGGAATGACATACCATAAAATAGATATTCACATATGTGTCAATAAATCTGGCAAAAAAAAACCAAACAACCCTGCCTTTTTTATTTAAAAAACTCCATATTTTTCCCAGTATTTAAAAGATTTGCAAGAAGTGCTGGTACTGTTGAAATCCTTTGGTGCCATGTGCTTTATGCACCACTGCAATTATTTTTTAATAAAGCTGCTATCATGAATTGCTTCAGAATCATTAGTAGAACCATTTTGAGGCTGGAATCATGTTTGAAGTGAAGCCACATCTTCAGTAAACAAAACTATGGCTTGACAGTGTCAGACACTGTTTGCTTACAGTGGCAGCAAAGCTGGAATAGTGAACACAGCGTAACAGCATTAGCTGCAAGTTTTGGAAAGTACGTATATAGCTTTCTAATTTTCAAATGCAGGCCATGAAGTAGCACTTACTGCAGCTTTCATCTGGCCTTTGGTCCGAATGTTTTGTAGAAATATTTTGTCATCTCTAATGAAATACTCTCAAACTTTTTCATGAAAATGAGACATCATTTCTTTGCTGAGACAGAACCATGGCATATTTTCCAAGAAGAGAATCGAAGAATATCTCCATTTGCTTAAAATTAAATGGAGCTAATATTTTATTAGGCTTAGGAGTAATACGGGGTATCTACTGCAGATGTCCTCTGTGTTGTTATGTTGGAAGCGTCTGCCCAGCCCATGACACACCACAAGCTGTACAGGCTCCCGTGTGAATGAATAATGCAATGCCTCAGTTATTTAGATTTCCAAGTGCCCCATGGCAGCGGGTTCAGCAGCCATGTGTTAGCGGGTTCAGATGTGTTAGACATGAGCCAGCTGTGCTTCCGTCCCAGCTGTATTTGTTACCGTTCAAGGCAAGCTCTCACTTGCAGCAGAGCTGCATTGCGGGCGCTGGGACGGGAGCACGGGGCTCTGCAGAGAGCATGAACTGCAGGGACAGGAGCACGGCGCTGACTGCCCGACCTGGCACAGGACAGGGGCTGGGGGCTCCTCATCCACCCCCTTCTGGGGGGTTTGGATCATCTGGGCTTCCTGCTACATCTCTGGAGTGTGTATTACCAGGAGTTTATGAAACCGAGTCCTTGAACAGAGACAAACCTCAATTATTTCCTTCCACACAAGTAATTCCTAGGGCAAAATAAGCTGTGTGAATGCATTATTTCACATGGGAATTACACTTATGAATATTCCATTACTAGAGTGAGAAAACAGAGGATGTTTACAGATACAGTATTAAATTGGGGATACAAAGGCATAACTTTAACTCCCCATTCTGAAACCTTTTTAACCTTGGACAAGCTGTTTCATGTCACTGCACTGCCTCATTGCCCGAAATGCAGATAAAAGTTGTTCACAAAGACAAGAGTTAAAGGCTGTGAGCCCCTCGCACATGCTGGTGAAGGGTATCTGAGCCAGAATAAGAGAGGAGGAACCAGTCAAAGCAGCAGCATTAATGCAGTGTCACCGGTGTCACTGAGCCCATCCAGCAGAGTGTCTGAGTGTCTGACCAGGAGGGCAGCGGGCTGCTGGACCCCAGCACAGTCTCTGATCTCCCATCTCAGGGCCTCACTCTCTTCTGCTTAATTCTCACTGCAGTTGCTTGAGCTGAACCCTGAGAAGCGTTTTTCTCAGCTGAAAGATATCCAGGACTTCCCGTATCTGTCAGACGTGAACTGGGATGCTGTTCTCCAGAAAAGGATAATGCCAGAATTCATTCCCATGGTAAGGAGCTGGACTTTTATAGGTGTTGCAGGCTGCAGTCTGTCCTCGCGCCAGGCACCAGGTCACAGGAGTTCTCACAGTTTTCCACAAGAGCATCAGATGCCACAAGGGATAGGGGAAAGAGAGGCATGGGCAGGATTTCCACTTTCCTGTGTGTGTAATAAGGAGCAATGGGGACCGACTACAAAGTGCGGGTGCCCCAGAACTGATCTACTCTGTTTATAATATTCCCAGAATTTCTGGATGCAGAACTGGTCCGAGCAGGTGAAGCACACACTGACAGCCCTCGTGAGCAACCTGCGCTGAGCAGCCTTTCTTAGCTGCTTTGGACCTGCTCTGGGAATGCAAAGACCAATCACCAGACACAGGCTCCCGAGCAGCCTGGAGATCCCCCACCGGTTCAGGACAATTGTTTCTTCCTGTGATGGCTCTCCTGAACAAGCCCCTTCTTTTTAGTAAAATTACAAGTGCAGTAGATTAGAGTTTCTGATCCTTTTTTAATTGGATTGAAAGCACAGAAGTAACATAACCCTTATGGAAAATAATCAGGCTGTGGGTGCAGAGTTACTCTGGTTTTCAGGCAAACAGAAGTTGGGCTAACTACGCACATTTGTTACGTGCATGTGTTTTCCCCCTGTGTAGCTGGTTTTCCCTGGGGTGGGTGCACATGCACTGCTTTAAAGCCAGGTCCGCAGGCTGCTGCTGCACTCCTCCCCAGCACAGACACACCACCCCTCACTTCAAAGCAGCTGAAAGGCAGAGCAGAAGCAGGGAGCACGAAGCAGTTATTGTCAGCCCTCGGCAGTGTGCCCTGGCTGAAGGGATGATGTGCAGTGGGTGCCCTGTGTGTGCCGAACCGTGGGTTCAGCTCAGGTTTGCACAATTCAGCTCCTGGAGGCTGTCCAAAGACTCTTCAGGATGGGCTCTGATCACTTCAGGGCACCTCTCCCCTCTCCAGAAAGGCAGACTCAACTGTGACCCAACCTTCGAACTGGAAGAAATGATCCTAGAATCAAAACCTCTTCACAAGAAAAAAAAGCGCTTGGCTAAGAAGGAGAAAGACACCAGCAGAAGCAATTCCTCCCAGGTGAGAGCGAGCAGGTACAAGCACGTGGTCAAGAAGTCTCTCATTTTCCAGTAAAGCTGATTGCCATCCATCCAGATCACAGCAAACTGTATAAACAGACTGTTTTTTTTCCCTTGTGACCAACTTTATTCCCAAAACTCTTCCGCATCTTCCCTCTGGTGGAAGGCAGCACATGTACACATGGGTTTTGTACGAGGAGAATCTGAATGCCCTTCTCCCCACTGCAGTGCTAAAGACGCTTTTTATACCTAAATGCTTTTTATACCTAAAGATAAATATATTTATACGTAGATGCTTTTTATACCTGAAGATACTTATATTGCCTTGGAATTCTCCTTGTAATATCTTTCTGTGTCAGCTGTGAATCTGTTCCTCATCTCTCTATTTTTCTATTTGATTGTGAAAGGCCTGCCCCCTGCAGAAGCACCTGGAGATGCTCCAGAGGGACTTCATTGTTTTCAACAGAGAAAAGTAAGTACTGGTGCAGAGGCAGCACAAGAGATCCTGTTCTTGCCAAAGCCTTTGACAGACCTGGCTTTGGGCTCTTGGTAAACGCTGCATGTGGGGTGGAGGCGCAGGGTACTGCTGGTCTGCCAGGACCCACGTGGCATTTCTGTGCTCGAGGTCCCAGCCTGCACTGAGTGCCCCATCTGTGTGGGCAGATGCTCCATGTGGGGGCTCAGGGCTGCAGGGCTCAGTGCAGCTCCTTGGGAAGGCACAGCCCGTGCCAGGGAACTGGATGCTCCCAGACAGCCACATCATGGTGTGGGCCATGGCACTGCCTGGGCTTTCCCCCACAGCAAAACCATCCCTTTCTCTCCCTAAGGGCAAGACACCACCACAACAACATCCAGGAGACCCTGACAGTGGCAAAGAGCAAAGGCACGTACAAGGAGGACAACCAGAACAACAACCCCTGAGCACACCTGCACACCTTCACCATGCTGGGACACCGCTGCTGCCAGGACCCTGACCACTGCCTGGTGTCAGGCGGGAGTTGGGGCACCCACTTCCTCTGCTTCCACCCTACAGCCAGTGGATCCTGGGCATGGGGAGAGAGGCTGTGGGTGCTGCCCTTGTGACTTGCCACAGTCAGTTAGACTGAGATCCTGCTATTTTGCCTGTCTTGGTGGCAGGAATGCGACTGTGTGAAATGGATGAGACACTCTTCATTCAACCCATCCTTTGGGTTGGCTTGCCAGCATCACAGCCCTTGGTGCTGCCAGCAGCATGACGGAAGGGCCACGCGTGCACTGCCTGTAGAAGTGTCATCACTCCTATCACTCCTGGTGACAGCAGCATGGGTCCAGGTTCCGTGGAGGTTGGAAACCCACATCCTCACAGTCAGTTGCTCTCAGTGAAGGAAAGGTCACTCTCAGCTGCAGGGTCTCCACCGAAGGGTGGCCTTTGCTTACAGACACCTCCTGTGAGCACCCCGCGTGTGGGCACCAGAGGGCTGGAAGTGAGGATCAGCTGGGAGGAGGCAGTGAAGGTTTCCCGTCTGTCTCCCCCTCTCCGTGCTGGTTCCTGTGCTCATTCCTCACAGGTCAGGGCTGGTGTGCGGGCTGTCAGAGCATGCAGGCAGGGGTGGAAATGAAGAGGCAACAACCAGGCACTGGCAAATCACCAGGATCCAGATGCCTTTCCAGGTGAATGAAAAACCCATTCGCCATCACATGAAGCTGCTGCAACTCACTGAATCTAATGGGGTTCAGCTTCCAACACCAGAAGTGAATTGGAATGTGTGTTTTTATTCTCTTTACTATTTAAATCATGCTCAATTTAAGCAGCTACTATTTGCAGTAGCTGTACTCCTGGTGCAGTCACTGCCAGGACTGAGAATGGCCAAAGCATTTCTATTATGGTAATGCTGGGAAAGATGCCGTTATTTAAATGCTTTGGCAGACCTGAGGTTTCACCTCCTGATTTGCCATTTTTCCTATTTTCATCAATATAATGAATGCATGGGGAACCATTTGCCTCCCATTTACCCAACGGTGTTCTTTGTCTCCCCTGTGCTTTCCTCTCTTTCTGTCTAAATCTGATCAACTCCAAAAAAAATCCGAATAAAACCAACAGCATAAGAAAGGCTCAGAAGCCAGTGTTACTCCTGAGGTCACTCGCATAGCAAGGCAGAAAGGGCAGAAAGCACACCTGCACCAGGGCAGGGCATCAGCCATCCGTGCAACTGACCACAGTGTCCTGTCTGCCTGTCCTGCCTCTGCCGCGGTACACAGCACCAAGCAGCTCAGCCGTAGCTCCTGCCCAAAAATCAGCGCCAGTTAAGTGTCTTCACTTTGTGGTCCCTCCAGTGGTGGTGGTGGGGTGTCCTGGAGTGGGGCAATGCTGGGGATCCCCTGCCCCACTCCCTGTGTGCTGGGAGCTCTGGTGTCTGCCTCTGAGCCTCCACCCCCCAGGACATACTGCGCTGCTCCCAGCCACAGCAGTCTCTAACAGAGATGTGAGTGGCAGGATGTGGTTGTAGGTCTTGGTGTTAACAGGCAGGGTACAGGGATGATGATGGCACAGCAATGAAAGCGTGTCCCCAAGGTCAAGGGGTCTTGTTCTGACTTGTGCCATGCATCCTCTTCCTGAAATGGTGCCATGGCAGTACATACCTTCACCGCTGCACAATGATGATACAAACCCCCCAGTTTTAGATGACTACAGCAGCTTCTTTTCTGCCATCACATGAGGGTGCGGGTGAGGGGACGCTGGTTCAGGGCTGCAGCACTCGCTATGCTGCGTGTCCTGTTGCCTCTATGCAGCCAAGTGCCCCACAGGCACCCGGGCTGAGGCGTTGCAGCACCACCACCCTCATCCACAGCTGCAGCCTGGTTTCATCTGCTCAGGTCAGGCTCTTGGCACAGCTGCAGAACAGCATGTTTGTGTGTGCAGGGCTGGGAGCAGAGGCAGCAGCATCACTGTGCACTGCCAGCATGGAAACAACCGACCCGCAAAGTGCGACCCTCTTCTGTCCGCAGAGCTGCAAAGCTGGGCTTCACCAGTAAGTGGTTATTGGAGTCCTCAAAAGGGGTCACTGCAATGGGAAAGCAAAGTCACAGCACACCCCAATTGCTGTGTCTTCTCTTCTCCCTCTCCCCAGCCATCTCTCTTTTGAAAGGGGCCTCCACCCTGGACGTTCCCTGGGCAGCCTCCCCGCTGATCCACAGTTCTTTGCCCAGTCCTACTCTGGGTCTGGGGCCAGGTGCGGTCCAAAGGGGCTGTGCCAACAGCCATACCTGTCCCCTGCTCAGCACACAGCTATCGCTGCCTTGCTCTGGAGCAGGTCACGGTTCATGCACTGTAAATGTGTTATCTGGAGCTCCAGACAAGGAAACTAGCCCTGCTCCTCACTGGGGGAAAGTCTGCTGCAGCATAAATCCTGCTGCAATGGCTGACAACAAAAAACCCCAAAACTCAAGTACTTAAATGGCAAGAAGATCGCATCTTTAAAAATCCCCAAAGACTCCTACAACCATCTCCCCTTTTCCCTCTTCCTCTGTAAACAGAGCCACATTCTCAGCTTAATCCCTACCAGGCAACAGGGAGAAATCTGTAATTGCTCGGTAGCAGAACTTCACAGAACTTGCAAGCATGAACAACTTTCCCCACCCCTGGAAAACTGTTCTGGCATGGACCCT